AAAATATCTCATTTTTTAATTGTCACTCCAAAATCCAAAGTGGGAGAGAGAATAGGACATGAGGATTAGTTCTCGTTCCTATTGAAATTTGAAAAGAGAAATTTACCAAAAGAAAAGATAAATTATTAGGATTCTAGTTATCTCAACGAAATACGGAAGCAAAACATATACATTCTTGACAATATATGCATTCGCTCTCTGAATAAGCAATTACTCACCAACTTCTATCGTATTACTTGCGCATGGAAAAAGTTCTAGTTTTGTGATAACAATTTAATTTTAATGTCAAAGTATAATAATGAAAATAATATATGAGGCGTCTTCAATTTTATTTATTTTTAAGTGAAAAAGATAGATCATTATGATACAAATCATTTTTAAAAAAAAAACAATATTTTTTTAGAATTTTGTGATTTTTTTCGTGAAATCATATATTTAATTATAGAATTGGTAAACCTACAAATTAATATATTCATCGTGCACTTATTAATTAATCTATTACCTCTTATAAAATCCATTCATTTTCTCATTTGGAGGTTGCATCCACCGTCGCCGCATGTGTGTGCCACCTGATGTGAACCCACGTAGCGAAGAACTACGAAACTCATGATTAGATTGAAATCGAACCCAAGAAAGCCAAAATAATCAAAGTTTTGGATTTGATTCGAAAATAACGAATCAAAATAACCAACAATACGCAAACGATATGTTGACTATTTGAGAATTTCACCCGGTTGATTTGAACGCCACAAGAAGAATCTTGATAAGTTCGTGATTTGTCCAACGAATAACAAGAATTCGAAAGAAAAAAAAAACATAAAACAAAGCAGTAAAATAACAAAAAAAAAATTACAAATGGAGTCACACAACTTTTCATAAGTACAAATAATTCATACTTAATATAATGGCATATGATTCATTTAATTAAACATAACAAGTGTGACTATCTAGACCAGTGCTCTAACACCACTGGTGTTAGGTTGCATTATTCTAAATAAAATGAAGAAAAAATAACAAGAGAGAGAAAGTTAGAAAACAAATAATATCCGATGAGAACGCGTAAAATTTGTGAATTAAAGTGTAGCTGATTTTCGAAGACAAAAGTAGTACTTTTTGAGCATGACTAGCAACTTGGGTTGGGCTCTTGTCAATACACAATTTCTTGAAATTCTACTCCTATTTCCCTTCCCATACTTTTCTAGTCCAACAAGGAATTTCTGCATCAACACAAAACAATAGCAAATCAAATATTTATGCCATCATACACAGTTCGAATTAATTAACATTGAAGAACAAAGAAAAATGCAAGTAATTAAACAAATCTGAATGTATATACTCGTGTTCTTCCTTGGTCCAATTTTTTGTATGAATTTTTTTTGGTGTCCTAGTTGATTCATGCTTGCTATTATCAATGTCTATATAGTTAAGTAATGGAACATGACCCAATTATATCATGTCAACATCTTCCGCCAATGCTTTATAATGCTCTTTAATTTGTTTAATGTTTGTCCAGGGATGATTGAAGCAATTTTGTTATATACAATGCAATTCAAATTACAATCTTCAATGGAATACTCGAATAGATTGTTCTCCTCAATGGTCCAATCTACGTTTTTTGGCTAAATTAATTAATATGACATGTCATCGATACTTAACATAAGATGAGATATATTATTGGCCTCAAAAATAATCTTATTCAAGAATATAGTTAGACATTTTTCGTTCCATGTAACTGTCGGAAAAATTCCAGCTTTATTTCCAGACTCAAAAATTGTAATGGGGAGAAAAAAACATCCTTTATGAAGGTGTCCTCAAATCAAATTTTAAAGAATTTTAAGTCTATATATATCTGTGGTTATCCTAACTCAGATTTTAATAGATTTCATTTAAATTTATGTATTTCCAATCACTTGTGAATTTCTATAAATTTCACTAGTTTGAAGGATTTTAGTAAATCTTAATGGATTTCAAGCTTATAAATATAAATATCAAGCTCTTTAGTAATTTTAAAATGACACATCAGATTTCAATGGATTTTGAACCGGCAAACATAAAGTTAAATTTTTTTATACATTTGACAAAAAATAAAAGAAATTAAAGTAATAAATCTAAAGTAAGATATATATATATATATATAGTATCAAAATAGTATCAAAATATCTCATTTTTTAATTGTCATTCCAAAATCCAAAGTGGGAGAGAGAATAGGAAATGAGGATTAGTTCTCGTTCCTATTGAAATTTGAAATCGAATTTTGCAACTAAGAATGAAAGATGAATTAGTCCATTCTGCTTTTGAAACCTGTGTTCACCAACTAAACATTCATTAATCATAAATATTTTTGTACCAACTAAGAATACATAATTTTTATTTACTGACTAATTTAAGCTTCGGAGAAAATAGAGAAAACGATACATCTATGTAAAAAAATTACAAATAGGAAAGATAGATTATTAGGATTCTAGAAATCTCAACGAAATACGGAAGCAAAACATATACATTCTTGAAAATATATGCATTCGCTCTCTGAACAAGCAATTAGGAAATTCTATTACGCACCATACCTACATCATAGTTCTCCCTGATATAATCGGCTTATGGTCATAGCCAGGTTTCTTCACCTAATTATTTGATAGTACAATATATGTACAATTAATACACCACATCGCATTGAGATGAAAAGTAAAAAATGCTGGGAATAAATGCGAAGTTTGAACCATTTATCCCAAATGGTGATACTTTATAATACAGTTTGTTGATTGTCAATTTGATTGGACAGTTTTCTTAGCATTAATGGGAGAAATTAACAAGCTGGAAATAATGAATCTAAATTCTCGTAAAAGATAATTCGAACAAGCGTTTCGAAAGATAATTCATTTAGACACATTTATTGACCAAAGAGATCAATAATATGTCACGCACCAGCTTTAAATGCTCCAACTCGAATTAACGTCATAGGGGACAATTAATTAATATTATATTTGATAAATTTATGACACGCCTGAAGCGGTGATAATGGCGGTGTTGTGGTATGTGGGTTCAATGGTGATGGTGATGGTGGTGAAAAAGTGGGGGGAGAGGAAGGATTGGAGGTGATGGGGAGCGTGTAATCAATAGAGAGAATGTGGGGGAGGGAATAAATGCTTGTTTAGATTTTTTTGAGATACCTGATTTTAAAAATACATTTTTGTGAAACTTGATTTAAGAAATACTTTATGAAGTACTTGTCTTTGAATTTTGAAACATAAATACATGAATGTGCCTAATTTTCTCTATTTCTTAATCATTTGATCTGTTATTACTAAAGGCAGGGGCGAAGCCACGAATAATTTCCAATGAGGGCACAATTTAATCAAGGCTCGACTTTGAGTTTTCGGCCTTGAACTTTGCTCTTTGGTTAATAGATCCATGAAACTAATGGAACATAACTTACCTTCAAAGTGCCAAATGTGACTCAAAATTGGCATGATTTTTCTCACCAGAAGATATCTTCCATGGAAAATTTGACAACTAATAATGCTACTATAATACTCCTCAAGACCCTTCATGGGTTGATGAATTTCTCGTCTTCTGATCAGCCCAGTGCCATGGCACCCGGAGGTCTATTAGTGAGTCAACTGCTTTTCTTGAAGCACCAATTGTGCAAGAATGCAGAAGATCATCTATATCTTCTGGTTCTGGGAATGATATTGAATTTGAGAGGTTTGGCGATCAGCTCATGTATATGTTCACTGATGATGTTGTGATGGGGCCCACTTTATCATCTTCGAGCTCTTCGTCGCCGTCGGATCATAACATTATTAATGGTGAAAAACAATGTCCACCTGATCAACAGCTGCACCAGCCAAAGAGTGAACCTGATGAGGTGTATAGTTCATGCAAATTTGAGGAACAAAATGCTCAACATGCAACCACAGACAAATCAAATGATAAGATTTCTGATCCAAAAAGGATCAAGAGGTAATCATTCGTATAAACTTCTTATGGCATGTTCGATATGATGAACTCGATAATATTCGACCGGATTTTTTTTATCATTTAATACAGCATCAAGAATTTGATGTGCAAATATAGAAAATTCGGATTAATTATCATTGGTGTGTGATCACATATCGGAATCTTGGCTTGTCGGCAATACGCATTAAATCCCCGATTGAGGAAATTACAGTACATATCAGAACTAGAACGCAGTATAAACTCACTTCAAGTAAGTTAACTAATTGTGCTACATGAATTTTTCAGAAAATTGTATAATTATTCTTCTTAATTATATTTCTTAATTAAGCTCTCATAATTAAATAAACTTTCATCATTGGTTTGATGCAAAGGCTGAAGCTTCAGTATTACCCCCAAGAGCTGCTCTTCTTGACCACCAACGCTTGGCATTAAATGTGGATAACAGTGTTCTCAAGCAAATATTAGCTCCTTTGGGTCAAGATAAACTGTTCAAAGGTGGTAAGAATTTATGCTGTACTGGATAGCCCAATACTCAAAAAAATAAAAAAATCTGGGTTGGGAGGTTCCTCCTAAGAAAAAAAAAACGATAATCTAAACCGTGTACAATGCTAATGTTAATATCACTAATATTGTATTTTTACTTTTTGATTATGTGATGTTGGCTGTAGTTTCTCGCACACATGTGAGTTTATTGAATATTAGATGTTTGCCAAATCTCATGTTTACATTACCATATTTGATGTGAGATTTTAACTTCGGATGTTACAATCTCATCCCATCGAAGAGGATTTTAATTTAGGAATAAACGAAAAGGAAAGGAAAAACCTCAAATTCCTTACGATCTGATCAACAGTAGAAAAAGGTACTTTTCTATTAATGTGGACTTGATTCTTCAACTTTTAAAATAAGGTTTCAGTTTCCAACCTATTTAATGCTACGCGATTGAGTTCATTAAATATATTAAATAGAAAACGAGAGGAAAAAATGAATATTTATAGGAAAAAAAAAAAAGTAATATGAAGGATTAAACATAAAGTCTGTCATCGAAGTACAAAAATATTTTGTTTTTAAAATTTAAATCGAAATAGAGAGTTTGTTGGAGTATATAAAAAAAATTATATTTAAAATTTAAAAATATTCTCTATTATGTACAGCATGCTTGTTAAAATAGATAATTATTTTCTTAATCAATAGAGGTTGGTCTGGCTCTGCTATTCCATTAATATTATTAATTAATTCATCGAGTTGTTTGTGTGGTATATAAATGAAAATAACTAGATTTGCTTCCTTATATGCTGCTTGTCGTTGATAAATAATGAAAATAGCTAGATTTTCTTCATTGATTGAATGTTGCTAAAAGGATCAATTACAATGTTCGTGTGAGTGAATGTTGCGAAAAATAACTTTTTGCAACGTTTTTCAAATGAACGTTGCGAAAAGTCACCTTTCGCAACGTTTGCTGACCGTTGCAAAATTTGACACTTTTTCGCAACGTTGCGAAAGGTCAATTTTCGCAACGTTTTTCGAACATTGCGAAATGTCAATTTTTTTAATTAAAAACGACATCGTACTGCACACGATATAAAAACACATGAAAGAAACAGGCCCATTTATCTCGACTCTATCTCGCCATGGTTTCTTCCCCTCCTCACCGCCGCCTACTCTGGCCGTTCTTCCCCTCCTCATACGAAATATGTTGTTGCGGTGTTGGGTAGTGCGGGCCCGATTAGATTCGGGGTGAATGAGGAGGAACTTGTTCTGCGGTGATTGATACCGCTTTGAAATCGTATGCTCGTGAGGGCGATTACCCATTCTTGGGTCAGATCTCAACATATATTGAAGATAAACCACAAATATTGAAGATAAACCAGTTGACTTCTGTAAAGAAGAAAATCTCTGCAAAATCAGAGAGAAAATAGGGTTTCGTTTCTAGATCCGCATTCGTTATAAACTTATCCTGGCCTCCCCTTTATTGCCCATCAATTGACTCCTCTCAGATTCGCATTCGCGTGGATCAAATGGTAATTGTTATGCATATGTGTGTGCTCCTTTTTGCTATTTTGTGGTGATTATGCGAGATCGTGTATTATTTTCACCATCTTGTTTGTTTTCTTTAAGTCCTTTCTTGAACATGTTTGATATGTTTCATAAATATCACGTTGGATGTTTTCTGAGTAATTTATTAAGTGGAAGGATATTTTTTATTTCAGGTGGAGACCATTTTAGTCAGAGAAAATTTTACACTGGAGGAACTTCTGGATGAGGATGAGATAATTCAAGAATGTAAATCTCTTAATGGCCGTCTTATTGATTTGTAAGCTCCTAATTCTCTCATCATGCTAAAATTTTAAAGATAATTGTTTTTAATTCTTTATATTCCACTATTTGGGTGTGTCGTCCCTTTAATAAATTTCCCTGTCAGAATTCGGTCATGAGAACAATTTTTAGCTCACTGTTGGGCTAATTACATTTCGTGCTTTCAACCTGGAGCATGTCTTATGCGAGAAAACATAATCTCCTTTCATTTTCATTTTGACAGAATGTTCAGTAGCTATTAACCATCATTAACTAATTTTATGCTGAACCATCTTGCAGTTTGCGGGAAAGAGCTCAAGTTGAGCAACTAATTCGATATATAGTGGAAGAAGCTCCAGAGGATGCTGAGATTTTACGCTCCTTGAAGTAAGTGTGGAATAGAATCATGTGTCTACATACTAGCTACTGGGCACTACTTTGAGGAGCTGTGATAATGTTGTATTTCAGGAGAGGAGCTTCTGATAAGTAACATTACTTGTTTCCGTGTGTAGGTTTCCTTTCATTTCCTGGAGGACACTGACATAAAATTACAAGCTTATGTACTGTTTTTCGAAATAAAGTAGGGGCATTTTCCATGCTAATATCAGCACTGTGTCTCCAAGTTCCCATTCTTTTGTTTCCTCTTCTATTCTTCCATTTATAATACTATTTTTGCTGCATTCCTCTATGACAGATACTCTACTGGTCTTCTCATAGGCTCTGAATTTATTCAACATGGGAATGATTGCTTCTATACTCAAGACATGGATATCCATGCTGCAAAGAGTTGGACATTTTTATAGTTTTGTACATGAGCCATTAAATATACTTTGGTATGATTAATACTCATCTGGTGAGAAAGAGCTTTTATTTGTCACCATGATTTACTTTAGTAAGATTCTTTTCACCAACAATAATGCATTGTGATTTGTGTCTAAACTGTCAAAATTCTTTGACATGATGAAACCTATGAAGCCAATTATTAGGTCATTAACTAAAGTCTAAAGGAGTTAACAGGGGTGTGCACTTGCTGGTAAATTTTGGTTTGAAAGAAGGGTAAAGCTCCTTGCTGGTCTTAACAGGGGTGTGCACTTGCTGCAAATTCCTGCTGAAGTTCATGAGGCCGAGGTGAGTGTGTTTAGCAAAAAAGAAGCATGTAATTATAATAATATTCTATACAACACTTAGTGAAGTGATTTTTCATCAATTTTGATTGCAGCTTCCTTTTATGATTCCACATGTTAAAGCATCTTCTCCTCCTATATCTTCTTCAATCCAGAAGTTACTTACCAACTCATCAGACTTTTCTCTTCAAGGATTTCCCTTGGTTAATATGGACCCTCCACCTCAATCTACTTGGATAACTAGCAGCAGCGGTGGGGATGATACTACTGCGAAAATCGAAAGTATGATGGAGGTGGCGGGGGTGGTGCTCAAGTGATGATGATGATGATGATGATGATGATGATGATGATGATGATACCAAAAAATAGCATGATGATGAAGGCAAAGTGATGACTCCCATGAAGTAATTGAGGAGAGTGATTCATCTGAAGATGAAGTTGGTGGCATATTACTAGTTTCTACTAATAGAGTCAGGGTTCAAACACAGGTTGAAGTGGCCGCATTTGGGGATGATATTTTATATCTCTGTTTCTTCCAGCAATCTAGTTAGTGGAATGATGGATGAAACAATTGTATTGTTTATCTTACTCTTTTTTAGATAGGTTGTGTTGTATCACATTGGAATTTTGTATTGATTCAAAAATTTATAATAAAATTATCAATTTTTATGCAATTCCAGAATGTGTTCACAAAGTGCTATTTTTAATTTTGTGGGTCAATGATTCAATTACCATAACTGTAAAAAAAAATAAAGGAGAAAAAAAAAAGTCTGCAACGTTGAAAAAACGCTGTAAAAGGGTCTATCGCAACATTGAAAAAACTCTGCAAAAGGGTCTACCGCAACGTTGAAAAAATGCTGCAAAAGGGTCTAACGCAACTTTTAAAAAATGCTGCAAAAGGTCTTTTGCAGCGTTTTTTGGCCGCTGCAAAAGCCAATTTTGGTGTAGTGTTACACACTAATTGTTGCTGATAGAACATAAGAAAACACATATTTTATAACTAAAGTTCAATTATAAAACATAGAATTCTTATTTCGCTAAAATTACTTCTACATTATTTGAGGCACAAAATTAACTAGACACCAAAGTTAACTAAACGATGGAAGTGCCAAGAAAAAACGTTGTGTGCACTCTCCATGAAACATATGACAATATAGCAACATAGAAGACAGCTAGCATCCTTCTGATCAACCCCAAGGTTGGTTTTGCATGGATGGGAACATGCATGATGGAGAATAGGAAGTAGAAGCTTGATTGAGCACATGATCAGTTGCCAGGAATGTGGTGTCAATTGGTGGAATCATAGGGTTTTGGACACTTGAAAAATCACCAAATTGCCCATTGAAATTGGATTCAAAATTGTTATTGAACATGGAAAGAGTGTTGTCTGAGGGGAAAGAGTTTGGTCCTTCAATGGTTGGGAGATTATTAATATAGTTGGTATTGATTGGATGCACTGAAACCAACATGGTGGGATTGACTCTCTGAATGTCATGGATGCTGGGTCGACGCTTATCCACTGGGGTCGAGCTGTTTCTTCGTCGAAAGTATTTCTGCGCATGGCTTGCCACTTGGGTTGGGGTCTTGCTAATGACATAATACCTTGAGATGCTCCTCCAATCTCCTTTCCCATACCTGTTCAGACCCATGAGGAACAACCTGCAAGAAAAAATAATGAAATATCCGAGTCAAGCTAAAGACTAGAAAAATATGGCAAATTTTCTGATAAAAGTGCAACAAGAAAGTTGACATCACTAGAAAATGAACGTACTGAAAAAAGAGATGATTTTTTGCGTGCTAGAAGCCATAACCCTGACGTGTTTTAATTTGTTTTTCTATATTAATTGTGGGCTCCACTGACGACGAAATAGTAGGTAGGCATTGAGTTTCTTGAACTCTTGCGCGCAACAGATTTCAACCTGTGATTACATCTATGTCAATTAATCGTGTAAATTTTTGGGGTTGATTAAATAATATTTTGCTGTTCTATCAATATAAAAACCCCAGAGAAGGAGATCTCAGAAATGCATGTAAAAAACGGGATAGAAATTTAATCTTAAAACTGGCACATAGCTATTGAATTCAAATCAAAGAGAGAGAATCCAAAAAAAAAAAGGCGACGGTTGTATGTCCCCTCTAAAATTTGTATTCTATTTCATTTCATTTTGATATTAATAAATGCTTTTCCCTCATCGTACTTTGATTTGGGGAAAAAAAATTGAAAAACCAAGAAATGAGAAAATGAAACTTAAAGATCTTGCATGCAATCTACATGGTTAAAATTAAAAATCTCCTCAAAAAGGAAACAAATTAATTGTAAAATACTCAAATAATTAAGGAAAAAATAATAAAAATGAAGTTAAAGCATAAGAAAATACTGGTGTTCATCTTCCGTCCATAGAACTCCCCTTCGGCGTTGCTGGCCATTGCATGTCTTTTTAGTAGCCGGTGATGGAGATTCCTTTTCATTGCTAACTTGTAATTCATCTCGGTGGTCCTGATCATCAGTTTCATATTTGGGAATAGGGTAATCGCCAGACTGAATCACATCTACATCTTCAACCAAGGCTTGGTAGTGAATTTTGATTTCATCAATAGATTTCCATGGAATCCTAGATGCTACATTTTCAATGAAGGCAGGATTGTCTGGATCAACTTCAGCCAAAGCATTTTCAAACAACTTGTTCTCTTCGGCAGTCCAATTTGCTGTCTTCTCAACCTCGAATTCAGGGGAGAACAGATCACACCAAGAAAGATCATCATTAAAAGGTGAACACTGAAATTCTGGCCATTCCATTGTGTGTGTGTGTGAACTTAAGAGAGATTTTGGCTAATTTTCGCTAGCACACTGAAGAAGGGCACTGCTTTACTCTCTTGAAGACCTTTAAGGGTGAAATGATTCTTATATATATGAAGGAAAACTTGAGTAAATGACCAAAATGGTCTCCTGTAAAAGGGAAAATAAATTCAATTGATTGAGTTATTACTACATCTTTTACTTGAAAATCTGAGAGAATCCTTCAGGATATTTATTTTGGCTGGATTACAAGAGACATAATTTACAATGGTGCAAGCCTAGGATACCAACTTGACACGTAAGAACGTGCGTGTAGTTTTAACAATTTGAGAAGAGACGCGCGTAATGTAACGACTTAAGAAGTCTTGTGTAACATGCTGAGGCGGACCTCGCATGTAACGGAAGAATCTTATTTATTTATTAAGCGGTTAAAGTGTCTACCACATAATCTGTTAGGAATTCGAGGAGGCGATATGAAGTATAGATCGCACAAACTAATAAACAAGAATAAGATTTAAAAGAAAGCAAATAAGAAGATGAAATTGGCAGAGAAACCGAATATCTTATTAACAACAATCAATTGAGAGAAAATACAACTTTTGCTTTTTCAGCTCTCTAAACTGAATGAAGAGTCTACTATTTATAGGACACATATCCAAATCTTAGATTTAACCTAAAATATGGAAACTAGGTTAAAAATCGTGTAAAACCGAAAAAGAAGGAAAAAAAATCCGCAGCCATCGCTCGAGCGAGAAGCCGGCGATGGGCGGGCAACAAACTCCCTGTTCCAATTTTGCTTCTATTGTTCGAGCTATAAGTGGGCGTCCGTGTAGTGCCGTCAATCCGTCGTTTCCTTCTTGGTCCCTATTTTGTCATCTTCAACCCCAATACTCCACAACACGAAGCCATAGACCCAATTTGGACCGGATCTACGTTTTTATTCTATTTAAAATATTATTTTTCCTTACTACTTTTTTTTTTTGTTGTTGAAAAATCACTTATCAATTCATATTCTCCATAGTTTGTCATACAGCCATGCAAAACCATCAGCAACCCATTTTAACCTTACATTCTGAGTTTCCATATTCAAATGAATGCAATCGTTTTACTAAGTGCATGTTTGACATTTATTACTTTATTTTATAGTTTGCTACAGGAGACCATTTTCAAACACACATTCACACAACAAAATATTTTACACGTATATAAAAAAATTTCTTTACTTTTTAACCACACAATCTTCCTTCGATCATTATTCCAAAAATTATTTTTCAAACAAAATGGGTGTCAAATGGGTAATCAATGTATTCAATCAATTGCCAATTCTTTTTAACTATAAACATCTCCAAATTAATTTATAAGCAACATAAATTGACATTGCGACTCTAACCAACTATAGTTGATTCATAAATCTTAATTCAACAAAATCTTTGACAATTCTAACTTCGTGATGATGCAAGTAAGCCTGAAATGAACAGTGAACACAATGGAAAACTTATTAATTCCACATAAGGCTAAGATTGGATCAAGAATTTTTTTAAAAAAATCTATAAATACAATAAAAAAAAGCCAAAGAATAAGGATATGATAAAAAAAAATGGAGACCTCGTCTTTCTCTTGCCATCAATGTGATATCTAACAATGTTGTGCTCAACCAACTAGATCATGCATACTTAAACTCCATTACCTTCCCCACTACACGGAGGTGGCTTGGAAGCATGAGATGAAATCCTTAAGGGATTTTTTTAAAGAATTATCATAAAAAAATTAAAATCGTGAAATATGATCACATATGAAATCAACGATATGGAATCTGACAAAAATCACTGACGGTGCTTCCATCATGGATTAATGAACAAAAAAGTATTTTTTTTCTTTATGGTTTTTTATTTATTAATATTTCATTTTTGTGTTATCTATTTATAATATTAAAACCGTTAGTTAATTCCAAGTGATTTTTTTATTAATAAATTAATTATGTTGTTTATTGATAATATTTCTGTTGATAAATTAAATTCATTTCAAATATTTATTATTCTAATAACACTAAGTGAAAGCTTGCTCGTCTGAAATTATTTTTCTGATTCTTATTTAACAATAAACAAAATTTCTATAAAAAAAATTATTTTAATTTTACTTATTGACGACTATTCTATCGACCAACTAAATATACTAGATAATATTTTTCTAGAATTTTCAATGATAAAAAAACTCTATGCTGAATTATTATTTTTTATGTTATTTTGTTATAACTTGTGGAGTTTTTGGTAGATATAATTTATTAGCATTATAATTTTCCTCGATAAATACAATTTGTCAAAATAATTTTTTAATTATCACCAACGAAAAAATCTGAGTTGAAAATTTTGTTGATAAAATGTTTTGGAATGGAATTTTCTTAAAATATGGGACCTTATCTAAATGTAGGCTTCAAGCGACTACCTCATTTGTATAGAGGTTGAGTTGGCTCGACCGCCACATCACTTCATTTACACGCAACAGGTAACAATATAAAATATT